TACATTTTTAACTGAAATGTAAGCATATATGCTTGTACAATTTAAACAACTAAAAATAAAAATACAAACTGCAGTATTTCCAATGGTTGTTCAGTGTTCACAGTGCTCACTCGTGGATTTCGGCCTCGGTATCAAGTAATAAACACAAAAGCACGTCTCCAAAACCTGTCTGTAGTATTTTATCCACTCGCAAAGTCATACAATGAGATTTTCGAACGTGGGGCCATAATCAGTCCACCAATATAACAATGCAGTGACTTATAATCCCGTCCCTAATCGAACTCTTGTTGGGGCGTGATTTGTTGTCTGAAGTGAGTTCAGACCCACAAGCAACACTCTTTGCGGAGTTCATTCCTCGGTTAATCTGATTCCTCCGAAGAATAAAGCTATATGNGCCGTCGAGTGCTTCCCCAAATCAGGTCGCGATTAGCCATGAATAAGGTGCATACACTGACAAGACGAATAGGCATCGACGCTTCATTCTGTAGCAGCTGACCCGCGCTGAACTGTTGAGACGTACGGCGCACAGTCGGCTACTGACTGGAATCCAGTCGAGAAGCGGGCGTTTAGCCTTGGCACTTAGCGCAATCCCAACACCAGCCACGCGGCAACCTTCGGACGCCGAATCGCCTGACACACGAAGGGTGAAGCGTGAGGTTCAGATTCGATCAGGAGAAGGTAGGGAGATAATGGAAGTGAGGTCTTGTATGCGTGTTTCAGAGACACAGCATACATCTAAATTGAAAGTTTCAAGGATTCTGGTTAGGTTAGCTTGTTGACCGATCTGATAGTGTGCGAACTTTGAACGCGGCTAAGTGAAACGGGGATTTCGGCTTCAAAAATCTTGTAACTTCTGATTGTTTAGACTTGTTGGTAAGACGCTGAGTGAAATCCGATGGGTCTTGTAAACTGCAGGCGTTTGGGATTGAGAGGAAGAACTAGACAGATGGGGAGGAGGGTTTTCCAAATGCGTGCCCAAAACTTTAGAGCACGTTATACTTCGTGGTAGCCCACACCGACGAAGGGGTTTTTCTTTGGGAACCCTAACCGGAGCCTTTGACTGAAAAATTTGACCCACAAGGCAGTGGAGCGTAAATCCAACGCGGGAACGTGAACTAAACACTCATGTGGGAGCTTCTGGAGACCTGTCACGCAAGGCCTTTGAACTTCAGTTAAGTTTGTTGTTCGCTGGTGCGTTGATTATCGGTCAGCTTTTCGGGATCAACCCTTAGCCTCATGCACCCAATGAGACAAACGGAACGTGGACGGGACAGCACCTTATTGGCTGGGGGCTGCCCAGGTTGGGTGGTAGCTGTCCAATGAAGTGCGAAGACTTCTCCCACCGTCGAGAGAAAGACGCAGGTACCCCGCTCTTACATCCATCTAGTGGGTTTTTTATCGGTAAACTGTCCCTCGCCGTGTTTATTTACCGGAGTGACCTCTCCAGGGGTGGGTGTGGATAGAAGAAGGAAACCAGGTGCCCAAGTAGCTGGCTTTGTGAGACTGATCTTCATATGACCTCTACCCCTTGACCGTTCAGGCATGATTGGATCTACTACTGTGAGAAGCCATCCTGTGTTGCTCGCAGGGTCCTGGAGGCACGCAAGCCATCACACCACGTCAAGATGCAGTCTTGTTGTGATGGGGTGATACTGAGGATAGAGACCTAACCCGTAGGAGATCGATGGAATTAGTCCGTCCCGCAGAGGTGTTGCCTTTTGGGAGGGGCACTCGGAAACTAAACTAA